ATTATCATCTATGGAATGTCAGCAACCAAAGAAGAAGAGAGAAAGAAAGGGAAACGAGAACTGCTGTGTTTTTTCATCAGATCAAAGAAAAGAATTCTTTACCTTCCAGATTTCGCTCTATGCCCAGCACTAAATTCGCATCTAAACAGCAGCATGTTATCATCAGTTTTCATCTCCCTCAGTTTAGCCACATACTTTGCAGGCTCGGAATAAAGAACACGTGGATCTGGCCGAGAAGAGCATCACCACAAGTTTCAAAAAGCAATCAAGAAGGAAAATCATAGAGCAAACAATGATACACCATAACTATTGTGTCTTATGTCAAAATAATTTTCAACCCATATAACATCTATCCGAGCTGCCATCAAATAGTGGTCCTCTTGTGTCATAGTATGCAGGTTAAGGACCTAGCTATGAAATAGCATGGGAGTCTTAGGCCAAGATCGTTATTACACTTCAATTGCATGCTTTTTCATTTCACATTTAACATGCTATATGGGCAACCTAGCTTGCCAACCAAATATAAAAGGAGCGTGCAACACAAGATATGCGGATAGAAGGAACATTAATGCTTGGGGGGTTTCCTCTAGGTAGATCATATTACTTCGATGGGTGGCTAGTCTAACTACAATTAAATAGGATATATTCCAAAAAGCACTTCATTATTAGCACTTCACTTAATTCAATTTGTAGCTGATCTATGTTGCTAAACAGATAAGTCTAGGTGCAATGTGGCATAGAACCAAAATTCATGAAGTGAAGCCTGCGAAAAGCCTCACCATTTAAACCAGCGGTAATAAGAATGTGTGGATAGTTTTGTGCAGCAACCTGTTCAAAGTAAACGTGTAAGAATGCACTCTCATTAACACTCACAATTTGTAAAAATGCACTCTCATCAACCAAATGACCCAATATAAGCAATTGCTTGTGGCCACTCGGTTAACAACTCCATGCCATCAAAAGTAAGAAGCTGAAAATAAAACGATGAAGAAATATGAAGCTTACATTGTCCACAGGGGAGTATGACTTCATGTAATGGTAGAATTCCTCCTTCCGAGGATCTCCCCATTCCTGCAATGACAAGATATAATGATGCATACAAGTCCAAAAAACAAGAATATACAAAGTGCACTTAAATTCAATGACTATTTCAGCCATTAACAATCGGTCTGGGGAGGAATGATGATTGTGTAACTAGTGTTACGAAAAAGATATTGATGATACAGTATGCTGAAGTATGTTTTTCATCCATGCTATGCTGATGTGACAAAATTCCAAATTACCCGTAATATATTGTGTACGTAACTTGTTAATGTGAAATGCAAACAAATAACAAACACAGAGAAAAGAACTATCAGAATACCTCCCACTCTGCAGTTGTAAGAGGAATAGTTGGATCAAGCATTGTGGTTACAACATCAACAAAAGGAACTCCAGCAACAGCTGCCTTGAACAAATCAGGCCTCATGTTGAGAACTGAACCGATAAGCAACCCACCAGCACTTCTACCTTCAATGCACAACTTGTTCTTTGAACAGTACTTATTCTGTATCAAGTACTCTGCGCAATCAATAAAATCCGAGAAAGTATTTTTCTTCTTAAAGAACTTCCCATTCTCATACCACTGCCTCCCCATTTCACCACCTCCGCGAATGTGAGCAATTGCAAAGACGAAACCACGATCTAGTAAAGCAAGCCTTGAAGCTTTAAACAAGGCATCTATGCAGACCTGTAAACCACATCTTGTTTAGTGATAATGAAGCACTCTTGCCAACAGAAACAACTTTTAAGTTCTCAAATTACCTCATACGACCCATAGCCATAAAGCAGTAACGGGTCAGACCCATCAAGGTTTACAAGACCCTTGTGATAGACAATTGACATAGGAATCTGAGTGCCATCTAAAGCAGTAGCCCATTTTCTTTCAGTCACGTAGTTGGATGAATCAAAACCTCCCAATACCTGTTGAATGAGTTCAGTAATTAATCCTTTTGATAGCAGCAGTAGTAATGACGATCAAATTTAGTATACAGAAGGTTACAACTCAAAGTAAGAATTGAAACTACTGAGAGAAGACACATAATTATATTGCTCTAGCATAAAAGCTAAACTGCAGCGACACAATCTGACATAAGAATTTATTTTCATTCATAAGACCCTTTGCAGGTGATTTTATCAAACAATTTTCATTAGCAGTATATAATTTTCAGGTGATTATGAGCTGCACCACTTTCATTCATATATATATATAATATCCTCGGGAAAACACTACACCCAGCCACCACCACCACATTCAGATGATTGGATGTGGTGTTAATGCCACTCTTTATGCATTTGTTACCATTGTCCATAATAAAGCCACAAAATCTCAATACAGGGTTCCTCAATGTGATGGAGGATTATGAAACACAAAATTACTTTGGACATCGATCAAAATAAAAATATTGTTGTAGTTTCTATTTGCAAAACTAGCTAAAATATCTTGAACGTAGGAACCAAATGGGAGGAAGAAATCTCCTGGGCAAAGCAAAATTAACAATTCAAAGAAAAAGAAAGGCGCAAGGAATGAATTTGAGGCCCCAGTTGGGTGAGCGATATCATATAATGAGCAGAACTTTTTTGTGAGCAAGAGTATCAGGAAACTTACTGTTTCAACCTTCTTCAGAACAGAGATGCCTGTGTTCATGTCATAATCATACACTGAGGTGGGTGTCCTTAATGAACTATAAGAAAACCTCAAGATGCTGGATTGATAAGGTGATCCTTTAAGAGAGGCATCATACACAGGGTCGGCAAAGTCAACAGAACGACCATCTTTAAGACTTGTAAGTGGATCATCTACTGGCGGAAGTTGAAAAATTGTTATTTTTGGCAGACCATTTTCACGCTCATATACAGCCAGGTGATCAGCAAATAGTCGCATATCCCGAATCTTTATGCTGGAAGCAGTATCAAAATGAACGATTAAGAGTCTGTGATAGCACAAATTTCACAAAAGAAATAAAACACCCTTTCCCTTTCTTATCAACCCTGGTCAGTTCTTTTACTATCAATATAGTTGAAGTTATAAATACTGGATATTTTTGTCAAATATCAAGTATTGGTTTTGAAGTCATTCAACTAACTTCAATCAGAGCAAGAGCCGGAAGCAAGTTGCGTTTCAATCTGAATTCTAACAAACCAAAATTCAGAACTCATTCAACTGACTTCACCAAAAAGAGCGGCAGGAAACTAACAACATTTCTATCTTAATTCTAAGAGAAGGGTTTAAGAAATGGAGTTCATGGCGAAAAATATTCAAGCTAACCTGTCACGGTGAGGAATGAGAACCGAAGTTGAGGAAACATCATCTACTGGGCAAGCAAGCAATTCTGAGTTGAAAATTTCGTCACTTCTTCGCATGAAGAAGAAATGGTTCCCACGATGGCTGACTGACGATGCCTCAATGCCAGTCACACGAGGGGTCAAAACCTTGGCACCATCTTCTGGTTTGGAAACATCAACATAGAAGACGAATCCTGTAGTTTTGCTATCAGATGAAATGAACACATACTTCTGGCTCTCTGATAGTTCCAGATTGAGTGAGAACATATCATCTTTCTCATGATAAAGACAGGAGTCAGTTGATTGATCGGTTCCCAACTTATGAAGCCAAGCCTAGGTAACAGACAGAACCAAGCCATCAAGATACCATATCAGAACACAGCATCATTCATCCCCAATTTCGAAAAACACATTATTATGTAGCATAAGGATCAAGAAGGAGGTAAGTATGCAAATTGCATCAAGTAGTAACCTTGTCCGGGCGAAGGGTTTCATCCATGGTAACATAAACTAATGCATCATCACCTGCCCACTGCAGATAGCAAGTCAAGTTCGTGATAGGTTTCCCAACAGGAGCAAGAGTTTCGGCATCGATGACGTGAACAGTGTAAACTTCATTCCCCTTGGTGTCTTCGGCATAAGCCACCAGCTTCTGGTTGGGGCTGACCTGTGGAAGCGAAAAACAAACCAAAAGTTATGGCTGAGCCCCAATGCAAATTGAAGCTGTAAGGGATTGGATTGCAGGGGTAGGAAAATAGCAACCTTGAAAGCACCAATGCTGTAGAATTGATGCTGCTGAGCCTTGATGTTCTCATCCAAGAGAACATGCTCAGGCGGAGCTTCAGGGCCAGAAGGCATGACGTCGTGGACGGTATGGTCGGCGGTGACAACGGATCGCCGGCAGTGCTGAACATACTCCTTCCCCTTCAATGTCCTGTCGTAATAGTAGAATCCCCCTCTTCTAGTTGGCACCGACTCATCGTCCTCCTTAATTCTCCCCCTCATCTCTCCATACAACCCTTCTTCAAATGACTTGGTATCTGAACCCCAACTCTACCCCATTAGTTTCTTCGAGCTAAAACAGAAAGAAAGCGAGGGAAAAAACCCAAAAGAGCAGAGTATCACATTACCAGCCATGACGGAGTTGGTATAAGCATTCTCTTGTTCCAGGTGGGCTAGGACGTCGGGATTTGAGCGAGAATCGTCGCGCAGCCAGTAGTAATTGTCCACCCTAACATCGCCGAACATCTCCATCACATGCTCGACTTTCTTCGCCACCGGCGGCGAAACTGCGGTTGCCGGACCCATTGAGGAATGACAGTTGTGTCGACCGTGGATTGAGCGGAGGCGATACGAAAGAGGTGTTGGTGGAAGATGAGAAAGCCTGGAGCTGGAGCAGATATATATAGGAGAGGAAGAGGAAGAGGAAGAGGATTTCTCGCATTTAGAAATTAGAAATTGACGACAATCCCTAGATAAGCTCGGAGGAAATCGCAGTCCTACCAGCCGCTGAAGTCCGGGCAAGACTTTCAGTCCTCCCACAACTCTAGTAGTAGCGGAAGAGGTACGTATCGTCGTCATCTTCCGCATATTCTCTTTTCCAGTTTCCTAAACAAGATGCCGCCTTTTTAGCAGGAAACGGTGGGAAACCGAAAACGAAACCAAAATACAAAAAAATGAGCGCGGCTTCTATACTCAATCGCGCGCTGGGCAATGCTGCCCAGAAGCTCCGTTTCGAAGAACCCACCTCCGCCAATGAACTAACTAGCTCAGTCTTGTCCCATCTCCGCTCCAATCACCTTCAAAAGGCGGTCTCCGTTCTCTTTGCCTCTCCTCACCCGGTCTCATCTTCCCTTTACGCTCATCTTTTCCAGCTATGTGCTTCCCGCCGCGCAGTTGTGGAGGCCCGGAAAGTGGAGTCTCATTTGGTTAGATTCAACCCTAACCCGCCTATCTTTTTGTTGAACCGTGCGATTGAGGCCTATGGCAAGTGCGGCTGCTTGAGCCATGCCATCCAGCTGTTCGAGGAAAGGCCTGAAAGAGATGGTGGCTCTTGGAATGCAGTCATTAACGCCTGCCGGCAGTGCCAGAGTCCCGGCCAAGCCTTGAATTTCTTCAAGCATATGAGAATTCTCGGTTGTGCACCGAATGAGATCACGTTCGCAGGTGTTCTGGGGTCGTGTGGCGATTGCTTGGCGCTTGATTTTGTCAAGCAAACCCATGGACTTGTGGTGAGATATGGGTTTTCTGGGAACGTGATTTTGGAGACTTCGCTTGTCGATGTTTATGGCAAGTGTAAGGCTATGCGAGCAGCAAGGAGGATGTTTGATGAGATTGAGTTTCCTAATGATGTGACCTGGAATGTCCTTGTTAGGCGGTATCTTGAGGTTGGGGGTCAAAAGGAGGCGGTGAGTGTGTTCTCCCAGATGTTGCATACAGGTGCTTGGCCATTGAGTTTTACCGTCTCTAATGCACTCGTTGCATGTTCAGGTATACATGCAATTCAGGAGGGAATACAGATACATGGAGTTGCAATTAGGAGAGCCTTTTTCGATGATGAGGTGGTTTTGAGCTCTCTCGTTGACATGTATGTCAAGTGTGGTAGATTGGAGAGTGCTCGAAGGGTTTTCAATCAGCCTGGTTCGAGAGATTTGATTTCCTGGACTTCTATGGTGTCAGGATATGCATTGGGCGGTAAAACGAGGCAGGCTAGGGAACTTTTTGATGAGATGCCTGAGCGGAATATTTTCTCATGGAATGCAATGTTGGCTGGGTATACTCGCTCTCTCCAGTGGGAAGATGCGTTAAATTTTGTTTTTCTGATGTTCAATAAGATTGAAGAGTTTGACCATGTTACTACTGCACTGTTGCTCAATCTGAGTGCTGGCCTTTCAGATGTTGAAATGGGGAAACAGGTGCATTGCTTCTCTTACCGCCACGGTCTGAATTCTGATGTTCTTGTTGGAAATGCTCTTCTGGACATGTATGGGAAATGTGGGAACTTGAGAAGTGCTAGGATTTGGTTTTGTCAAATGAGCGAAGTACGGGATGACATTTCCTGGAACGCTTTGTTGACTAGCTATGCGCATCATGGCATGAGTGGACAAGCTGTGACAATGTTTGGTGAGATGCAATGGGAAACAAAACCAAGCAAATACACATTTGGAGTTCTTCTTGCTGCTTGTGCAAATATTTCTTCTCTTGGAAGGGGCAGACAAATTCATGGTTTCATAACGAGAAACAATTATGATATGGATTTGGTGATGACTGGAGCTTTGGTAGACATGTACTTTAAATGTAGCCGTCTTGAATATGCTGTGCTGGTCTTTAGGCAAGCGATCTCGCGTGATTTGATTCTTTGGAACTCCGTTATTTTTGGACTCTGCCGCAATGGAAAGGGTAAGGAAGTTATTCAATTGTTTGAATTTATGCTCAGCGAAGGAGTAAGGCCAGACCATGCCACGATCCTTGGAGTCTTGCAAGCTTGTGTTCATGAGGGCAACACTGAGCTTGGTCTCCAATATTTTGATACAATGAGTCATGATTATTTTATCTTACCTCGACTGGAGCACTATGAGTGCATAGTTGAGCTCTTATGTCGATATGGAAGCACAAGCCAGCTTGAGAATTTTCTGAAGAGGTTGCCATTTGATCCTACTGCTTCCATGTTGACAAGAGTCGTTGATGCTTGTTCAGAGTACAAGTGTTCAAGATTAGGCGAATGGGCCGCTCACCGGCTGAATGAATTCAACAAATTGTAAACTTTAGCCTCCGAGTTAACATGAGCCAGGTTGAGAGTTTTCTAAGAGGTTTCCATTTGATCCTACTGTACCCATGTTGACAAGAGTCTTTGATCTTATAGGCGGTGCAAGTGCTCAAGATTAGGGGAATGGGCTGCTCACCTGCTGAATGAATTCAACTGTTTATGATGATAGTAAAACTGCATATTTGGAGCAATTGGGATGTGGTTTTATGTTCGTGACAACAGTGATCTCAGAATCAGGTAGTGCCGACCTAAATAGATGCTGAAGTTGAGGTGAGCATGTGTACTTGATTGTCTTCTCGTTATCGGGTGCATGAATTTCTTACTAACTTGAGTTCATGGACAGAAAGAATAATGATCTAACTTAAGAAAGACAAACAGCAACTATGCAGCAGCTTGTTAAGTATTCAGAAGTTTTACAATGACTTAGTGTTGGGTCCTTTAGTTTTGCAATTTTAAATATGAGAGTGTTTTAATGTATATGACCTCTTCTTTTTCAGATGATGATTAGTTTCATGTCTCCCAAGCTAGCCACACTCGTGATAAAAGCGGCGAGATTTGAGAAGTTGTCGAGTCTTCCAAGGGTAAGCACCTGATTTTCTTTATCGATTTGTTCTATTTTTTCACTTGATTGGACTCCTCATCAGGGCCATCTGATACTTGATGAAATGGGTTTTACACATTACTCTTATCATCAGGGGTTTCTAGACTACACCGTTATTGATTGCCCTCTTCTGACGTAGTTATCTGATCCTCAAATACAAAATGCGGATTGCTCCTTCACTTCCTCGTCCCGCTTTTTTGAAGCTGCTGTCTTAGATCAATCTAAACTATCGAATGACCAATTATAATCCTATTTAGACCGTTTTCCCATTTCCTCAGATTTTTAGACAGCTGGCTAATGCTTCGTTAATAGCGAGCTTTATATTTCCTTGCAGATGATCCCTGTAAAACCTCTTTTTCCAACAGCATCACATGGATAAGTAGGCATGGACAAGAAAGCTGTAATGAAAGTCTCCAGCCTTGGGGATCTTTGATTCAATGTTGACGGTCGAAGTACCCCACATTCCACTACAAACAAGACATGAAGTTGAAGGTTTCTGCCTGAACTCCACCCTCATTATTAGCGTCTTATATTGCATGCGTACGTTTAGCGATATAATATCATACAAATTATGATGCTCGTTGCTCAGCGTTGTCTTTGCTAGAATCACTTTAAGATTCCTTTACCAGCCTAATGGCAACTGGTCAAAATGGTCAACATTGGGTTAACCGTAACAGTTTCTACAACACCAGGAGAAGCATGTTTATGATTACATCAGTGAGAGCTTTGCATAGACAAACCAAGATGTTATTGTTTGCTTGATTGCTGACAGAAAGTATGAAAAATCCGACACCTCATATACGAAAAGCTGATTTCACCTTTTTCTGGAAGGTGTTCTGTGGTGGAACAAGGTTTAGAATTCAGTAGTGTCATAGATTAGACAGGCCATAAGTGGGTACCCTGATGGATAACAACTATGCGTGTTACTGGTTAGCTGTAGAAAACGAAGTAGGAGAATGAGAATTTATACAGTAAGGTTCATATTGGTCGAATCTAGTCTGTTTTCATAGAATGATACTTCTCTAAGGAAAGAAATTATTCAGGTCGGGTTGTGTGTCGTCCATATGTACCCCTTTTGTTGGCATGCAAACCAACTGCAACTATGTGTCAGACCTTAATGACAAACAGATCATGGCCAAGGTGACACATTTCCAACTGTATTTTATTTGACTCCCCACTTCAGAAAGGAATCAATCATGCACAACCCCTACATAAATAAAATGGTTTAGTAGTACTACTGAAAATATTTTGCTAATTAATTGTGTGATGAAAATCTTTATAGGAGGGTTAATAATAGAAACAGTAAGCTTAAAGTATGTGGTTGTGTCCAAAAAGTAATGGGATGTTTGGTTGGGCATAAACGGTTTAATCTTAAATACACATTAGGCAATCAATTATCTAGATTCTGCTAACCGCCCATTCTAACATTGCATCTACCTTTTCAGCTTTCGTTTGTTTTTTTCTAATGATTAAAGAAATTCTTGCTTGCATACCTGATTTCCAATGTTTCCAGTTATTCTTTTCGATGAAAAAAGTCTGCTTTACATATCAACCAATAATCAAAATGGGCTCAAACTGCAATTTTATCTTGAACTTTTGCATCAAATAGTACGAGTGAGTGAATTTCTTTTAGTTTGCTTTGATTTTCTCCTTTTGTTTCCATCCTGTGGCTGAGATTAATAGACAACACACCTTTTCAAAGGTTGGAAGAAAAAAACAAATGTGTTGAGGAGTTGCGGTGCCCCATGTTGAGTCATTTTGACGTGCAACCAATTCACAAAGCAGTAGTTATTGATGTAAGAAATACGAGTTTTTTCTTTTCTTTTTGCCGTTTTAAGATTCATTGTTTAGGCAACAACCTCTAGTTGGTTCTTCCTTCCATTGATGGATTGGTTTGGAAGGAGAAATGCGCCTAATTGGTGGTGTTGTCAGAATCGAATCCCTTTCCCCATCCCCATGTAGTTGTTGTTTGCAGTTTGGTATAAGAAAGTGAAGTTTCATGTTTTCCTCAGGTGTCTATTGTATCCTTTTATTTCTTACTGGCTTGCGTGGCCATTTGAAAGAGCAGCAACCCACGTGAGCTCAACTTCAGTTTTAGTGTTAGTGTCTCACTGTCTCTTGATTGTCAAAAGAAAAAGGTATTAGTTTCTCTAGTTTACTCCCAAAACCCATACTGCATTTTGCAGATCCCCATGTTCCCTCCATTCCCTTCCCCACCTTTGTTTTTCACCCACGAAAGAATACATCCCTTTTTATTCAGCCATAAACTAGTGGGGTTGTGGTAAAAAAATAAGAAGTTAGGAGCACCAGTAAGTATTGTAGCCCAATATATTTGAGAATCTGGAAATTTTGGTGTGGTGTGATGGGTTAGTGGGCAGGACTAGGAAAGTTACATATTAACCGCCAAATTATAGCCTTGCTTTGCTTCTTCAGTGGGACTTAGTTGTCCCTTTATGCACTGCTGACACATCAGATTGTCCTTGAAACCCAGGAAGGTCGGTGGATGATTGTAAGTATCATGTTCTCGATGCCCCTTTCCATGCCCTTCTTTTTCTTTTTCAACCCCCCTTTTTCCAAATCCTTTCTCTCCTCGGACTCACCTATTCGCCTACCCCTTTTTATTCATCTCTTCTATAAAATTTCTCATGCTCACTTGGTTTCCCTTGCCTCCCCTCTCCTTCCACTCTGTCTCTTGAGTTGTACAAACAAAATTGGGAAAGAAACAATAAAGTAAAAACCAGAATGCTTTTGGCTTTGTTTTGTTTACTAATTTTTGTGGGCTTGAGTGGCATCCCATGTGCTGGGGAATCAAGTGTATCATTCATTGCTTTTGTGCTTGCTGCGTGATATGTTCACCGTCAGTTCCCTCATTCATTCTTAACTAACTTTTTTTTTTGGGGTCCGCCGCAGGTGTATTATCTATAAGTATCAGCTCCTGCTTGTTAGCTATTTCCTCTGTCCTCCTGGACTGGAACTCTCTCCTCTGTCGAACTCCTATTCCTCCTATTTTTATTTCAGACAAGTCAAAGGTTCTGTAATCATTACTGCAAATGGGCGAGGAAGCTAAACAGGTACCAATCCTCTTTCATTTTTTCCTTTTTAATTAAACCCCGTCTGCATGCATGTCATCGTTGTAGTATTGGTCCGTATCACTTCCAGTTTCATTCAACTATCCTAATGGTTATCAAATTTCTATTTGGTTGGCAGGAAGAAGCTAAGCCGGAGGTCAAGGCCGAGGAGAACAAAGAAGAGACAACAAAGGATAAACCAGCTGAGGTGAAGGAGGGCGAAGAAGTTAAGCCCCCACCTCCCTTCATTCTGTTTGTGGACCTGCATTGTGTGGGATGTGCCAAGAAGATAGAGAAATCCCTCATGAAGATCAGAGGTCTGGCTTGCTTGCTTGCTTTCTTTCGTCTTCTTCCCACGAAGAAGGGGAAATCATATAATAGCCAAGTTTTGATAGGAAAAAGAAAAAGAGCATGCAAGGCATGTGCATGAGTTCAAGGCCGTTAACTTTTGAAATGAAACAGGAGTGGAGGGCGTGGCAATAGACATGGCTCAAAGCCAGGTGACCATCAAAGGGATAGTGGAACCTCAAGCTGTCTGCAACATGATAAGGAAGAAAACAAAGAGAAGAGCCCAAGTTTTATCTCCATTGCCTGAGGCTGAGGGTGAACCTATGCCCCAAGTTGTCAATTCCCAGGTCTCTTGTCATCGTATAAACAATTCTGCTACAGAAACTTGTTCTAACATGACCAGAATGTCAGAATTCACAGAATGAATTTCAAATGACTATTTAGCAATATATATGTTTCTTTTTATTATAATTTCTTTTTGTTGTTTCCCTCTCACAGGTTGCTGCAACATCAACGGTGGAGCTTAATGTAAACATGCACTGTGAGGCTTGTGCTGAGCAACTGAAGAAAAAGATACTCAAAATGAGAGGTAAACCGAATTCCACTAACTAATTATTATTTAGTGAATGCAACCAAGTGCATCATTAATTTAAATGGCCTGCCGCAATGCCATATCTGAAATAGCTTTGGTTGGTACCCCACCTTAGAAGTTAGCCACCACACTGCTTTAGTAATGATAATTCCAGATTTTTCATACTGCTGCTGCAGTTCTGAGTTGCCTTTTCCTTTCCCAATAAGTCTGATCCCTATCAAGAACCAGTTGCTCCCAATAACTCGAGTTGTTGGGAGAAAGTTATGATGGATCTTATACCACTCTCTAACACGTCCCCTCAAACGAAAGCCAACCCATGGGCTTGAAGTTTGCACAGGCCCACCATACCTTGTGCTTTAATCAACTGTTAATATTAGGGGTTGTGAGGACTTGAACACGTGATCTCACGGACAACCAGCTCTGATACCATGTCATAAACCAGTTGTTCCCAATAACTCGAGTTGTTGGGAGAGGTTCAATTCTGGATCATATACCACATACTAACACACCCCCTCAAACGAAAGCCACCATATATGGGCTTGAAGTTTGCACAGGCATCAGACACCATGTGCAAACACATGGGGGTTACCGGGATTCGAACACAAGACCTTTCGGTTACAGAAGGCTCTGATACCATGTGCTTTTAATTAACTATTAATATTGGGGGTCATGGAGATTCGAACACACGACCACTTGGCCAAACCAGCTCTGATACCATGTCATAAACCAGTTGGTCCCAATAACTCGAGTTGTTGGGAGAAGGTTATGATGGATCTTATACCACTCTCTAACAATCCCCTCATAGTTTATGTATGGATAATGGTGATTATAATCTGAAGTAATTCCCCGTGTTAAAATTTGCAGGAGTTCAAACAGCAGTAACAGAGGTACCAGCAGGGAAAGTGATAGTGACAGGAACCATGGATGCCAAAAAGCTGGTGGATTACATTTACAGGAGCACCAAAAAGCAAGCCAAGATTGTTCCTCAGCCGGAGCCGGAGCCTCAGCCAGAAGCAGGAACCGTCGCAGCAGAAAATCCAGGAGGCGGGGAAGACAAAAAGGATGAAGGCCAAGGTGGGGAGGAGAAAGGAGAGGAAAAATCTGAAGCCATTAAAGAAGCAGGCGGTGAAGCAGCAGCAGCTGAAAGTAACAAGGTCAAGGAGGAAGCCAAGAAGGAAGGAGATGTAACTAACATCGTCATGAACAACAACAACAACGATAGTGACTTTGCGGCAGAAGATGAAAATATGAAAAGGTTGATGTACTACCACCACTACCAGCCGCTGTATGTGATAGAGAGAATTCCGCCACCTCAACTCTTCAGTGATGAGAACCCAAATGCCTGCTGCATTTCATAATATAGTATTTGTAATTAATACAATATATATAACCTGTAAATCTGCAGGTCATTTCATTTCTTGGAAAGAAAGATCCCAAGTCGCACTTAACCACCCGAAATTGTATCGAAAAAATTAATGACAGGGTATTATGTTGAAGTAGTGGTTACACCGTAATTCAATTATTGCATAATGCTACAATTATTTGTCAAAGTATATAGAGTACGATAAAAAAATTTCTCCTTATTCAACATTACTGACAAGGTATTTTGTGCTCATGGTTAAATTGTAATTCAATAATTTCGTAATGCTATTGGAAATTTAGTCCAACAAATGATATTCTTTTAACGGATTATGGAATGCGTTACAATTTTACAAATACCAAATTTTTTCCCTTCCTGAGTGCCAACCTCACCAAACAATAGCTATTCCTACCTACGAAACGGTCCACCGTCCACCTCTCTCATCGGCGTCAACACAGCACAACACAATACAATACCGTGGGTGCCTCGAAAAGGAAAGAGAGATTCTTTTCCTTCGCCGCCAACGCCATCGTCGTTACACGCCATTTTCTACGGGAGGGGAAGTGGATAAGAACGTTGGGAAATTGAGTATTTGGGGTGAGAGGATTGGACGGAGCTTCTGAGAAAGAAGGTGATAAGATCAGTTGCAGATTTGAGAGAGATAGAAATCGAATGGTATACTAAAACAGGCAAACAAGAGTTCAAGCCAGTCAGGTATTCCTCTGTCGTTCGTGGTCTCTGGCCTCCAGCTCTAGCAGGTCGCTTATCCTGAACCCTATTTCCACTTCTCGATTCGCATTGTTACTGCTTCCTGAACTCTTTTTTGCCATTTCTTTTCTTTTGGGTACTTACTTGTTCCGTTATTGGCATAATATTGCTGGGCTTTTGCGGCCTATTTGATGTGGGAATCATGTTTCTCTGGCGTCTCTCAGTTTTGATTATCATGTGATGTCTTTGATGGTAGGTTTTCTTGTAGGTGATATGATGATGGGTGGTGGGTATTACGGAAATGGAGTATCTTCGTCTTCCTCATCGAATTTGTCGGCTGCAGCTCCCCCTTTTACTGTCGATCGCTCTGTTCCAAAACCCTTCTCCCCACTTATTGACTTCACTGACCAAACTTACCATCTTCCTGTTTCTAACTCAAACTCTGGTCTGCATAATTGGCTACCCTCCAACTCTAGTCATGACTTCTTTTCCATTGATGACAACAATGGCGCTGTATTTGAACCTATCCCTTCCTCAATTGATTACACCAACTCGCCGAGGATTCCCCATGTAGCTACCCTTAACCCTGCCTCCCGTTCAGCTGATGATGGTCACCATTCCCATCCACCTCCAATTCACCCTGAACCTTCCAACCCATACCACCAGCCATTCATATCTTCGGAGACCAGCAAATCGATGCTTCCTCGCCAATCTGGACATGGAATATTGTCTCGCACTCATGCAGTGACGCCCTTGCAACCTTCTGGTGATATTTGCTTCCCTCAAACTTTGGACCACACCTCACACTGGAAGGGCTTGTGGAATAGCTCAGATTGGCTGCAAAACAGTCAGGTGAAACTGGATGATGGGTGTTTTGTTGCTCAAGACAATTATATGAATGAAGGTGTGTTTCTCTTACGATTATCGTTATGGCTAGTTGAACTAGATTTCGAACTTCAAAGTTGTACATAAGCATTGTCTGTCTTCATTATTTTGTGTTTATACTTATGCAAAGTTTTCAAATACCATTTTCACCTTCTCTGGTTGGCTTGTTGGTTATCCTCCCTTAACTATTTTTCAAGTAGCCTTTTTCTTGTAGTGGTACATGCCAGTAGGTCAAGTCATGAGTTGAGGAAGGCGAATCATACTTCACAACTGTTTTCCAGCTTGGTTGTTTTGTGAAATAATTTCAGTTTCATCTCCCTCTATCTGCAGATTGTAACTTCATTCATCCTTCAGTTCTGAAATGTTCCTATTCCTGCTGTTCAACTTCTATTTCAAAATGTTATATGTAGTTTAAACAAAACATTGCAGAGGCCAGGATGGAGTTCAGAAAGTTAGTGTAGCAGGAATATAACTTCCCCACTGACATTTTTAACAATGATGCTTCATCTGTATCTATATCACACGCACTGGTGTATAATTGCCTATATTACGGTTATCTATGACTTGACTCTGGACTCCGAAATATAATATTTCCTCTAGTGTCCCATTTTAGCAAATTGAAATAGTTGCAAGTTGTAGAATTAACTGTATAGGCATAGTGGTTTTGGTTAATTACTTTTCTGTGTGAAATAGGTCGTGGTTTTCCATTGGTAATTGGTAGAGAAATAGATAGGATTAAATTGAATTGAATATGATGTTTTATGGGACATATTCATCAGTGCAAGTATAGTTCTTGGGTTGGTACTCTTGCAAGCCAGAATCTAGGTACTTGCTTTTTTGTTTCTATTCTTCATTGTGTTATCGTCTTTCATTTTCTTGCATCTCTTTACAACAGAAGCCTTTGAAGACAGGGGTATCTTTTTCTCATACTTGATTATAGAACAACTCAACTGACAGATCTTGGCTAGTGTACCTCTTAATACCTAGTCATTTACAAAACGATGGATGCCTGGTTCTTTGCTTAATTTAATTGCTCAGTGAAGCCCGTTACTTGATTTTGATCTGTAATATTTTCAGGCTCTTATGCACCTAAGGAGATTTTTTATGGTGAGGGATTCAATGGCACTGATGTTGTCGGAAGTGAAAAGAATGTTAAGCGTTCAAATATTGAGCAGATGGATTACCAATCCGTCCTCTGTGAAAATCCAAAGTTTGTTAACACGGATTATCCAACAGCATTGACCTGCACAGCCACTCTAGCAGGAGAATCTGGAGGCTACGTAACTCCTTTTAGTGCGTCCCTTGAACTGGGCTCAAGGAAACAATCTCCCAGTGCAGTGGAAACTCACTTAGTTACGAAGTTGCCTTCAGTTACCATCAAGCCACCACATCCGGACATGTTCTCTCACAAAACTATGCGTCCTTGGATTGGTGAAGGAAAAGAGTTTGGTTGTGTTAATCCCGTGAGTATTAAAGAGGCTCATCCAGACAGAAAGGCTGAAAGCAAACCTGATCTTGATACAAGGCAACTCAGGCTTCACTTGGGGAAAAATCAAGAAGAACTGACAAGCAACACAAGTATTTTTAGCGAGGGCCCTTTTATAGCAAAACTTGGGTTGCAAGTTCCTCGTATGTGTCCGGATGGTTTTAGTGTGTTTGTTGATAACAAGTCCCTCAACTCTGCGGACAATATTGCTGAGAATTTGGCTCATCACAGTTCTGCTTTGGACTCTCCATGCTGGAAAGGGGCTTCCATCTCACACAGGTCCGGGTCTGAAGTGGCTAGGTCATATGATTTGATAAAGGTGGAAGATTTCAGTGGTACACATCTTCTAGGGCCTGAAGTTTCTTCTTTCACGCCCTATGGTGCAGATCTAGTAAATCCTCAGAACTCAGGTGATTGTGAGACACACAATGTGGCGAGGGATCCAGAAGAGTGTTTAGGTCCTTTTAAAGAACAGACTGGTGCTAGTGCTAGTATATTTTCAGGTGAAGGAATAGGTTGTGCTATGAAACTTGAAACTCATAACACAGCAGTTAGTTGCAGCCCTGGAGTTCAATCCTCTGATGGTATCTGTATGCTCAATAATGGAGACGATCTATTTCGCCAATCAGTGGAGACTTTTGATGGTGAAGCTCCCAAGAAGCAAATTACTGGGGAAGGACAAGGTACAACTGTTAAACATGCATGGTCTAATGATCCTGAGACAAATAAGAGTGATTACCCCGAATATTGTTCAAGCCATGTATCGTTCCATGCTATAGAGCAAGTGTTACTTTCACCGCCTTCAGCAGAATCTAGCCCTGCTCTGGAAAAAAACAAAGCAGAATGTAGGCTTTCTGAGCTAACTAGGCCAAGTAACAGGAAATCAGCCCCATATGTATATATCAAAACACTGGTTAATTCAATGCATGACCTCTCCGAGTTGCTTCTCTTGCACTGTTCAAATGAGGCTTGTGAATTGGCCGAAGAAGATTGTGAGACTCTTAAGGAGGTGCTTAAAAATGTTCATTCAAGTTTAATGAATAAGGCAGAGGAGGGGATTAACATGGAAAAGTTATTGATTCCAAAAAGACAACATCAATTTTGTGCATTTAGAAAGGTAATTGTTTATATTTCAGCTCAGTCTGAGTTTTGTGTACAATGATTCTGAAGTACCTGCTACATAGATGATCGAAGGATTTGCATTTGAGCTGCTTCTTTTCTTTGTTTGAATCGCTTGTGAAAAGAAACAGAAGGAATGCCAAGTTATAGTCATCAAATTCTTTAAATGCTGATATCAAATTCATATCTAATGGAATTGAATCCTCTTGAAACTGGATCATCTTTACAGGGTCCTAATGTGGAGGCTTCTCAATGTCAGGGACTTGGCAGTGGTAAGCTTCCATCTCCAGTCCAGGTCCAATGTCTCCAGGAGTTTCATAGCACTTTGGATGGTCTCAGAGATGAGAACTTACTCAATCACGAGTCAGTGAAGCATGCCAGCGTGACACAGGTAGCTCCCCCTCTCTGTTTTCTCCTTCCCCCCTCCAGCTTCTTGCTGTGCTTATATATATACCTACAATTTCATGAAAGGCACAGTCAACAGGAAAGAGAAAGAAGAGAGGGAAAAAAAAACAAAAAAACAAATGCAAGACATGAAAAAAAGGGAAACGAAATATATTAACATTAAACGTCTTTGCTGTGAGCTGTGATGCAGGCTATAAAGCAGATTCTTACTGAGAGCTTGCACAATGAGGTTGAAACTCAACCAGACATAATTTTGTATAAAAATCTGTGGTTAGAGGCAGAAGCAGAGTTGTGTTCTGTTAATCATGTGGCTCGTTATAATCGGATGAGAATGGATATGGAGAAAGGTCATTCGCAGCAGCTTAATGGTAAATTTATCATCTCTGCCAAAAAGTTATGTTAAATCATTTGGTTCATTGTAATCTGATTGAGGATTAAGATGGAGACATGATGTTCTAGCAGCTTAACGGTAAACTTATCATCTTACCTGAAACACTTTAAAATGACAAATATATGATTAAACAATGGGGATGTCAGCTTTGTTGGGGACTAATTTTTCTATGTACATGCTTAAAATCTTTCGAAGTTTGTTTAGTTTTTTTTCCCCTGCTACCCCAGTTTTACCAGAGAAAACAACGGCAATGAGGATGTTCGGAAGACCAGAGATTTCTTCTGATATTTCTGCTCAGGGCACTATGGGATTGGATATTAACTCTAGACAAGTCGTGGATACTCCTGATTCAGATACCTCGATCTCAAGCGCAAGTAGTAATTCAGATGACACACTGGCCAGATCCCACGTCTTAAAATCCCCTGTTGGCAAGTCAGTTGCTGCTATTTTTTCTGCAGCGGGAAAAATTTCGGATCACAAGGAGGCTGGCAAGGCAACGCTAGAAGTAAAAGATAGTGCAAAAACAGATGTGTTCGTCCATGAGTCCCATCGTTCCAGAAATATTGGCCACGCCAATGATGTGGATGCTTCTGTGATGGCCAGATTCCAAATCCTTAAATGCCGGGCTGGCAGCTTGAACTCCACAGCTACAGAGGAACACCAGCCAGAAGGTGCTGATCTTGGATATCCAGGTCTAAGAGACAATCCTTCAACCTGTAAAGGAGTCTCGGAGAACATACCGAAGAATGGAAAAGTGAAAACATCCCTGCCGATTAGTCCAGTTAAGTGTACGGAAGAACAGGTGGTTATTGAAGACAAATGCAACAAGAGGAAGGGGCATGGTAAATACCTTCTCCCTCAAACTTCGTGGATATCTACACTACTCTGTTTAATTAACTGTTTCTCTATATCTAATACAAACTTCATTCATACTAAGATACTCTTGCACTTGTAAAGGCCCTCACAAGGACAAACGTATATGATGCAGGAACTATGAATGTGTCGACAACCAACGTGGACCCTGTTTCAGTTCCTCTCGAATCACATACCTTTTACAATACCAGTGATCATCGTGACGTGAGTTCTCGATTTTTCATTTTGAAGAGTCGGGATGAGAAACACGATTCCACGAGCACATCGGATGTGGAGAAGTCATTGAGTCCTATGATTTCTCCTTGTAAGGTAAACTTGAGACCTCTGCAGGAGAAGAATGCTGTGACAGGTACTGAAGATACCTATTCTGTGGAGCAACTCCATTTACGTGTCGGAGACGCTCCTGCGGTTCCACATTGCTTTGTGAATATGCGTGGTGATCAGTCTCACTCCAGCTACCAGGATAGCTCTTCTTCATCAGACTGGGAACATGTGCTGAAGGAGGAGGTTACTGGAGAGAAGTGATGAAGGCTGTTAATCGTGTTATAATTCATGCGTGGAGCATGAAATTTACTTTTGTTCACTTATAGAAACGTAAATAGCACGTCGGGATTCATGCTGTTTTCAAATTATGTATAATTATGTTGGCTACGTACGTGGGTACTATAGTTATCAATGGGTCGTTGCTTATCTCAAAGACGGTTGATCCTGAATAGGAAGCAGTCTTCGAGCAGTCTATTTAGCGGTATTGCTATTGCACAAATTGGGACTGCTAATACGAGCTGAAACTCCTCCAGTTACTCCTAGTGCTCTCCCTTCCAACAAAGAATTCAATACAAGTTTTAAATGTGGTGCAGCGCTATACTTTAGTCTTTAAACAACCAGTTAAGCTTCAACCAATTCCTGTCAAGGCTGGACGTGAAGACTTGAGAAGTAGCAAAGGAGCCAAAAGGGCAACTCGGTCCCACAAATGAATATCATATGATGGAATGTACGAAGGTTTGGGGATTTTTCTAGAAATAACAATGTTTAAAAAAAATTTCAAAAATAGCATCCAATCGCTAAAAATTCCAAAACTAGCACCATTTCCCAAAAATCACTGTCCGAACCAGCGGTTTAGACGAAAACCACCACCCGGGGTGCGATTTTCGTTGAAAACTGCACGGGTAGGGGGCGGTTTTGCTGACCGCATGGGCCCGGGGCGGTTCGGTTGCAAACCGCACCCCCATCCGGCGGTTATGATATATAATTTTGTTTTTTTGAACAAATGTCATAAGTGGTCTTGGTATAGTTTAGTTGTTTATTGTGTGCAAGAAGTCCTGGGTTCGAATCCCCACCATTCCATTTGAATTTTTTTTATTTAGTAGAGATAACAAAAAAAAAAGTTCTGGGAGTGGTGGTGTGAACCCAAATAATAAATACTTTACTAAATTTGGCACAACATCTACACAACTCAACTACAACTCTTCTCTTGAAACAATAATATATTGACAAAGTTTTATTCCTTGAACGCTAAAAATCCTCAATCACTTTAAACAACCATAACTTTGTGCTCCAAAATTTCAACGTTATGAATTTTTTTACATTCTGCATAACTTTTACTAGGAATGAATTTTCAAAACTGAAATTATTTTTGGATATACAGGGTTCTAGGAATAGCTTACCTTCTCTTTTAACAAATCCACGTACATTTAGAAATTATGTCTATGATAAAAGTTGTTGTCCTTAAAAAGTTATGCGAAATGAAAAAACAAATTCATGACGTTCGAATTTTGGAGCACAAAATTATGACCGTCCAAATTTTGACGAAATAAAAAAAAGTCTCGTTCGAGTTAGCAAACGACGTTTTTCGGGACGAAGGCGGGACCAAACCGCCTACGACGTTTGGTGTTATTTTTGGAATTTTTGGGGATTGGGTGCTATTTTTGGAAAATAAATTTTAAACAGTGCTATTTCTGGAAAAATCCCAAGGTTTGGTGGCCCTCTATCTTCCAACAATCTATTAGTGGTATTGTGATCGCCTTTTTCTAAGAGCGACTAAATAAGGTAAGCGTACCTGTCTGACTTGCAATATAATGAGAAGCAATGTTGTATCCCACATGGATGATGACTACTGGTAATGGATTATGTTTTCTATTATCTAAAATCGGTTCTTTTAATGATTTTGATTTAATTGAATTGACTACTACTCTACTAAAGCACAAAATCGACAATAACACAATTTACCAAAGATTAAACCATGAAGATAAGGAGTTGTTTAGATTAGAAACCCCCTGGCTAGTTATTGAGAATCAACTAAACACAATACATATGTGATTTACTATTCCCATACCGTAGGAACTCTCAAATTAGCATTAACCCGATCCTCTTGCGTGTTAATACTCTATTAGTCAATTAAACCTAGATATGATAATCTCTTTGGCCTAAATTTATTTACCAACGCATTAATCAATCTTTGATTCCCTCTATTAGGTTGTACCCTATCTATAAGTCCCTCTCCCTCCATCTTCTAGTAGTTCGAGCCTTCGAGGTCCCTTCTGTCACTAAGTGTTCTATCATGCGTGTGGGGATCTTATCCTCGTCAGACGAAATACTCCACACTTGAACTTTGCTTGTTCACAAGAAAACACTACTCACAATCATACAACTCAATTAAAACTAAGAAACATCACACGAACCAGATCTTAGGTAGCGGATCAAAAACGAACTTACAAGGTCAACGTAGCACCAGAGAAGACTTTAACCATATTAGCATGTATGAACAACAAGATACTCATCTCAATCATAGACAACCAACCATACATGAGTCTCAAAACACAATAGGGTGAAACTTATGAAAAATGATTTAGAACATTGAAATGCTTCTACCGTCTTTATGACATACCCTTTAAGCACATTTTCCTTTCACAAACACATTTTTTAAAGATTTTCTATACTTTTCTCATCACTATTTTTTTCTTTTCCGTGTGTAGGGAGTTTTACTAGAACCTGTACCCTTATTAGTTCAGCAAGAGTACTCTCTCCATCTTTGTCATCGTCTCATATACCTCAATTCACTGGAGGGCCAATGAAATTAAGAGGTGTAGGAAGCTCTATCCGTGCCCTTAAAAACAGACCTCAAGTTAGATATCAATTCCACGAGTGAAAATTTTACTTATACTATAGAAGAACTAGCATTGAACAAGGTCACAGAACTAAATTAGTATCTCTTCCAAAATGCAATTTTGTGCGATGAAAAGATGCCTCACACATTGGAATCACTTTATTTCTTTGCATTTATTGAAGACACAGTTCACCTTTTGGTTTTTTTTTTAAAGTGAGACTCAATGTATAATCTACAATATGTAATAAATTACATATTAAATTTTTGGGTGCACCTATGGTGACATGCATGTCACGGTGACTTGCACTTTTCGGTCGACCTCATTTAGGATCAGGTCGGCCTCATTAATGATCAGGTCGACCTCATTTAGGAACAGGTCGACTGCATTTAGGATCAGGCCGACCTCATTTAGGATCAGGTCGACCTAATCTGTTGTTTCAGTGTAAAAATAGTTTCATGGTGCCTACTTTGGAGATTCATATCATACAATTGGCTAAATGGAAATTGAAGATTAATGGCTTGTTTTGAAGCTGGAGTGTCCCTCTACATATTGAAGTGATTGAGAGGTTGATAGAAAGTTCAGAAGACCATTTTTGAACGTGATCAAAAGGCTATGCCAAAACTAGGAAACTGCCTGAAAATGGCTAAGTCTGGAAACGTGTTTGTGAAGCCTACTTTGGAGCTTAATTCGAGAAGCATGAATGCGAGTCGAGTCCAGGGGCCTCTACCACGTTAAATTAGGTATGTTTTTATACAAATTCAAGGCATTGGATGAAAGATTCAATATCTTCAAGGCTTCAAACAAATGGGTCGAAATTGCTACGAAGGCCGTTTTTCTGGCAGACTTCGAGCACAAGCAAGTTGCCAGAAAACAGCATTTGTAGCAACTTTGAGCCTTTTGTTTGAAGCCTTAAAGATATCAAATCTTTCATCCAATGCCTTTCCTTTGTAGACAAACATACCTAATTTAACGTGGTAGAGACCCCTGGACTCAAATCGCATCCATACTTCTCAAATTGAGCTCCAAAGTAGGCTTCACAAACACGTTCCCAGACTTGGCCATTTTCAGGCAGTTTCCCAGTTTTGGCATAGCCTTTTGATCAGGTTCAAAAATGGTCTTCTGGACTTCCTATCGAGCTCCCAAGTACTTTAATGTGTATAGGGACACTTCAGCTTCAAAACAAGCCATTAATCTCCAATTTCCATCTAGCCAATTGTAAGATATGAATCTCCAAAGTAAGCACCATGAAACTGTTTTTACACTGACACAACAGATTAGGTCGACCGGAAAGTGCATGTAACCGTGACATGCATGTCACCGTAGCAAAGTCCTAAATTTTTTTTCCATAAAAAATCAGGTTAATTGTACTCTTCAAAATGACATTCATTTTGATATATTTTTCAACAAAAAAATTTGAGACATATATAACCAGTCCATACCATGGAGCTAATGATTGGTAGTACATAAGATTATAACATTATGATGTGAAAGTGTACCATGATGATATGAATACACCATGGTGTACAATGGTTATGTACATGATAGTAGGAATATATTAATTGTCATTTACCATTTTTCATCATTGTGTACCCCCCATTACCGGGTTAATTGCATGATATACCACTTTAATATTACTTTCATTGCATACTAGCCACTTAAATCCTTTTAGTGGTAACTAAACCACACACGTCAGTTTATGGTTGCACCATCCAATTTTCTGTCCACAAATGTAACAGAGGTATCAAATTGCAATTTTTAGTGCCAACTCGGCATTCCAACCCAGCCTGACTGCTTGGTTACAAAATTTTCAATTTCCCTTCTTTTTCTCATCTTATCTCCATTAAAAACCCACAAGGAGGCATCTTCTTCCACATAGCTCCAAAGAAAAATCTTCAATCTAATATTCCTTCTCTCTTCAGGGTATATCTTCTCCGTACCAGGTACCACCCATCTCACCAACACCAACACCAGCAGTCCATAGTCTATATATAATACCCCATTCATTCCAACGTTCATAAACCGCATTAATTGGGGGATACAGGTAGGTTGTTGATCTAAAGTTCTTCATTAAGATAATATATAACAATTGTTAAGTCAATTAACTAGTAATAATAACAACCAGAAACGTCCACTATCTGAAGATTTGGAGATACTTCTGGCTTTCACCCATGAAATAACTATGACATATTGCCATTACAAACTTTAATGAATTTTACTACTTACCAGCTCGAATATCTGCTGATTAAATTTATCTTACAAAAAGAAAAGAAAAAAATGTCAACAGCTCTCAATTATATAAAAATCCAAGCCGCAACAATGAAGCTAACAGAGCATTACTTGGGCAAGTACAATTATGCTCGTTTTTTCCATCATCAAAAATCAACAAACTTCTTCATCAAGCTCCACTGTTAAACATGGTTTAAGAAACCCTATCATATAGTCGGTCCGTTCAAAAGTACCGGATACTGGACTCCAAATGATAGGCGGTTTAGCGGTGCAAAACGGTTGAATCTCGATTTTATTACAAAATACACTATCATTAATTTTTCCGGTATAACTTTGGGTACGGTTTCACAATCATTGTTGTTAAAGCCGCACCAAGATGAAAGCTAACCATGCAATTGATAATTAGAGGGAGAATGAAAACAATGAACCAGTGATGCATCTGCATGTTTTGTTGAGTACAGGAAACCAGGAAGCAAA